CTCATAATATTGCCAACACTGCAGCGCAACCCAAGCGCAATCGCCTGTATATGCGGGTGTGTGTGCGTGTGTTTGTTTGTATGCGTATGTGGGTCCGAATTATTATTGAAATATCAGTTGCTTGTAGGGTTTCGGGGATCTCGTATCGAGCAGTCTCGACTAGAGCTTTCTTACTTGTTGATTTTAAGTGATTTCATTTGTCCGGCAACTGAACTGCTTGTATAACGAGTGCACTGCTTGCTTTCAAACTCACAGTGCGTGCAAAACTGTACAGTGTGTGAAACAAGCAACTATTATTTGTTCTAATCGATTCTATTCGATTTCGTTCTTCCCCCATTAAACAGTAAAATGTAATATAACATATTAATAATATATGCGTATACACATCTATTTTGAATTCAAACATCGGAATTTTGACATATGTCAAATAGTTGTCCAACTACATTTCGTGAATGGTATGTTGTTAATAAATTCAAATATTTTAAATGAAATAATACTCAAATATTAAATAGGAAATCCTGCTAGTCTGGCAGCTTTGTCAGTCCCAATCAGCTGCTGTGCGCATGCGAATTTGCGTCCGTTAAAAGTCTTGCAAGCGCAGTCGCAATGACGCCACCGCAAACGGATCAACGTTAGTGCGCTTAGTTTTTGATTTGCTAGTGATCAGAGTTTTGCATTGTGCGTGAAGAAAGTTGTAATATATTATCAATTAGGTATTGAGCGAAGCGAATTGTGCACAGTAAAAGCTATTGCTGAGAAAGCTCCTGCGCTACATGCGTATCATGCTGTCATGCATGTGTCGCTCTCGTCTGCCCGTTGAGGCTCCTCCCGTTCTGTGGTACTGATGTTCTTCGAGCGAGCGAGGCAGCGCGTAGGCGGCCAAAGTGGCAGTTATGGCCATAAATACAAATATGTACGTTCGCCAGCAGGTATTGAATAAGAGCACAACAAAAAACAAAATAAAATAAATGAATGGTATTGAATGCCATTTATATAAATATTATCAGAAACTGTGGCAGTCGCAGAACCAGATAGATGTGCAATACATACACTTCGCCAAAGTTCTGACCAACCTACGGACTGCAAAGCCACTCGCCGAGTACTGCCGATGGTGATGTAAGCACCACTGCCATCCAAATGCGAAAATGTAAACAGTACCTGGTTAGCTGGTTCGAGCAGTCAACTATGTATGCATACGTACGTACCAAATGACAGCATATTTTGTAAACTCGCCCACCTACTGTAAATAATAAAGTTTTTTACTTTATTCCCCTAAATGCAGGCAAACACACTCGAATAAACTGCATCATACACTCATTGACAAATGAACTACAAATATGATGGTGATGTTTAGTACACACAATTAAATACAGTGATAAATATAAAACGACTGATTGGGTTAAGTTTTTGGTACTCCTCCTGTACAAAGTCGTCAGTTCAAAATTAGTTTAACAATGCGAACACGTTCTTGCTCCTAATATAACCTGATCATCGGAATTCGAAATGAAATTAACTTATTTGAATGTGTTTGTTCCCAATGTATAGGGGAAATTTATTCTCTTGGCGCCAATTCTCACGATAATTTTACAATTTAAAAACAAAAGCAAATTGTAAAATTATACATTAAACAAGAACACATCGCACGTACGCATTAACATACATACATACATTGGCTGCCGTGTGGGCTTACTTTGGGAAATTAATTGTTTAATAAGTTTTCTTGTGAATGTACTTTCTTCATGAAACTTTAACATTGTAATTATATTATTAAAATGCGTATATTTGCCAAAGCAGATTTGTGGATGAGAGTGAGGATGAGGATGAGGGAGAATCATATCAAAAATCGAAATTGTATCAAGTACATCTGAACATATGTATGTTTAAAATTTGAAGACTCTATCTTTAAAGATGTAGCAGATTAATGATTTTATTGCTGAAAAAAAAAATAACGGAATGGGTTACCGATTTTTGGAGATAAACTCGATATCCGCGCTGTAAATACGGACATTCTAAAAAAAGTTGAAGTCTCTAGCTTTTATATCTTCTGAGATCGACGCGTTTAAAAATACGGACAGACGGACGGTCAGACGGACAGCCCTAAATCGACTTAGCTCATCGCTCTGATCAAGAATATATATACTTTGTGGGGTCTGCAACGCCTCCTTCTGCCTATTACATACATTTTAATAAAATCATTATACCCTGATTTCCCATTTTTAATGGATTGAAGGTCTAAAAACAGGGATGCATTAGATAAAGCACTTAAATTGTAATACGTAAGATAGGTGAGAAAGATATGAGAAGATAAATTTATATACATAAATCCTAAGAAATTTCTATACAAATACTTATCAATTTGAAATTATGAAAACAAACTCATAAATGCGCATGTGATATAAAATTCAGCGGTCCAGTATCAAGTATACGATTCTGAATTTCGTTTTAGACGAGATCAGTATGACCCATATTCACACATAGGTATCTAGAGCCATTAGAGTGGATGTTTATAAATACATATACATATGTAGATGTACAAATATACAAACAGATATACATCCCGAAATAAACGAACAGAAACGAACATTTTGAGGGCATTTTTCCTTTTCGGAAAATAATAAGCCGCCACATGCACTAATACACCTACGCTAGAAGCAAGGCTAAAAACAGATGCCCTAACTTGAAGTCTCGCATAGGTCTATTAATAATCGCGATATCAACTAAGCGAATACCTATGCGAAGAATCAAGAACTTTGGGACGCTGCTCGCACATACCTTGAAAGATGCAGCTGCTAGCATTGAATATGAAAATTGATCGAATATGTGATAACCTATAAATGGTAGGTAGACTGAACTATATTTGCAGACTAGCTGTAACTGACGCAGTTGTTTCCTTTCGGACGACCCATGCAAGCTGTTTTTCTTGATCCGTAATTAAGCAAACTAAAATTTTACGAAAACGAATTTGGTTTGTCCGGCGTGCTTTTATCGCGTTTGGCTGCTCTATGACCGTAGAGCAACGCGAAACGAGCATCGCGGCAACAAGTTGGATTTTTCTAAAAATGAATACACGAAATATCTTCGTGTTTGGCGTTAAATACAGACGGGCACGACAACGCACCGTAGCCACGAATGATAAATACAAAAAAGAGCGAAGCAGAAGAATTTAATTTGATTTTCATTTGGCCTGCTCAGCGTTATATTCTTCGTCTATTGTGTGCCGGGGCGTGTTTGCTCTCTCCTACTTCGGCCTCACCACTGTCTCTGCCTCTGCCTCTGCCTCTGCCTTTGCCTCCGTCTGCGCCTGCGTCTTCGGCTGCGGTCCATCTAAGGAGCATATTTTCAAAATGATGCCTTTCGTGACTTTCCCACAACTAGTTGAGTTTTGGATGTCAACACGATGTGCACGCGCGCGATGGCGATGCAGCAAACCAATCCAGTGCGATAGAGAACGCGTGAATCTTTGGCTTCTCCTCATATAGGAATCCCATTCAATACTCAATCCAGCAATCAGTCTGCATGACTCAATGATAAACTTGAATAGCACTTACAATAAAAGGAGAAAGGTAAAAATATACAGCGTACATGCAAAATGCGAGCACCGTCATTCTTATGACTAAAGTGATATTATCAATACTCAAAGCGTCCGTCGGACATGACCATTGGCACACGATTCGGTGTTTGCCTGATTTTAAGCCTTTTATGGCCATAGACTTTCGTATAGGGAATCGAATTTCACGTACAAAAACAAATTTCAACGTTCTCTCAAAAAAGCATGTGCATATACATATGTATGTCTGTGCGTGAGAATGTGTGTATGTGTGTGTGTGAGATACGCCACTTGCCAGTTCGCAGAGCATTTAAATAGAATTCCCGTGCTGCCACCGACACCGCCGATAGACGGATACGGATACGATCGGACGATGACTATGACCGGCGTGTGAAAAATGTGAAATGTAAATTATGAAAAGTGTGTGTGTGTGTCTCAATTTCAAATAATTAGATTTATTCCATATTGGGATAGCAGAGAATGTAGCATGGCTTATTTATTTCATTTTAGTGCGTAACATGGAGGATCTGGTGCGGGAGAAAGTCATGGCCTATGAAGATTGTGACAACAGTAGCATCAAAAACAACAAATCACAAATGTGCAACAGCTCAAGAAGATCGCACAAGTTGCCCCAAGTGCCACCAAACGGCATGATTGCTACAATACTGCCATTCATTAAACTAGACCCAGATGGAGGTCAGATCGTCGAAACGGAAGTCTGGCAGCACATGTCAGTAACTGATCACATGCGCCTGGACCCATTGATTACCAATAAGCTGTTGCTACAGGGATCCGATGATCCATTGATTTCGCACGGAGCCAGCAATGATCCGCACGATGAAGACCAGGACTACTCATTCAAGACGCTGCTAGCTCGCAGAGCGGAGGAGCAGCATACAATGCAGCATGGAGCATGTAGCACGGTCACAAAGCAACAGCTCAAGGCTAATCTGATGAATGCTAGGAAATCCCAGAGACCCATCCCGGTGCAAGAGGTAGCCGTGGCCACGCAAAGAGTGTCCCAACAAGGCAAATCAAAGAAACGCCCTACATCCAATACAGGCGCGGTCAAATTGCGTTTCCACCATCAGGCCTTGCCGGCAGAATACGCTGCGCACTATGAGGCAACTCAGAGACGCCATTTGTCCAACACACGAACAGCTCCATCTGCAGCCCCAGCCGCAAAGCTCACACATCCGCCGCAGAGCCAGTCGCACGAGAATGTACGCAGTTGGCTGAAAAAGATAGCCGAAATTCAGCGGAGTGCGGAACGACAGCAACAAGAACAGGAATTGTGCAAGGACCTTCGATCAGAGCAACCATCGGAGCCAATACGGGTTGTCGCAACTCAGCCGCTGCAGTCCGTGGTAGAGGTGTCCAGCCCGAGGCGCGGTGCCATTAAATACGCTGACTTGCCTTACATGGGCGAGATCACCTTGGATAACTACAAGCCTCGACGAGGCCGCAAGCCAAAGAAGGCGGACATTTGTCATTTAATCTACAAGAATTATGGCACCATTGTTCCAACCGACGTTCCTACTACATCCGCTGAGCGCGGTCCACTGCTTGAGGCTAGGCTTCCAGCCGGTGGAAACGCGTCGATACTCTCACATCGTGTTGGGCCCAGCCCATCCGCAGCTGCCGTTTTACTAGAGGAGCCACTGAATCTCTGTCTGCGGGATCAATCCAGTGATCGTTACTCAATATCAAGCGGCGACAGCGATAAGCCGTCGACAGTGACAAATGCAGGAAGCTACTCGCAGCGTGCCACGCCCTTGCCAGATCCCACAGCGTCAACGAAGCCTATATCAATTAAATTTGCAAGGGATAAGGAGGTCAGTGTGTCTGAGAAACTGTTGCTACAGCCTGTAGGATTAATCCATCAAAAATTCATGGGCAATTGCCGCTTGGGCGTACAAGTGGAAACCATTGAAAAAGACAATCAACTGTCATTGAAAATTCCTATACCTAATGGGTTCTTTGACACCATAACCTCCATCACCACGTCACCCAATAAGCGAGAGCCGCTGGAACTCTCGATCAACACCGTAACGCCGCCTGTCATGCAGAAGCGTAAGCGATCGGCAATTTTTATCCCCCCCATACCAACCGAGCACAGCGGCAGCCCGTCTACCGAGGTCAGCATTTGCAAGTTTAAGTTTACGGGCGGCGCTAAGCCCATGCTGGAGGAAAAGAAGATGCTGTCGGTGGATGCCGAAGGGAACTATCGCTATTACAATGGCACCGGCGACAGAAACCTGCGGGGCTATGAGTTCATATCACGAGAGCAACAACAACATCAACAGCAGTATCAGACATCAGTTTCATCCAACACCAGCACCGATAAACTATATATTGATATACCACCACCCTCCACGGATCTCAGCCTGGAGCAGCTGCACATACCACCAGAATCGCCAACGTCGTCTATTTTCTTGCCGAGCAGCCTGGTGCCAGTAGCGTCGCAAAGTCCCTCCAATTACTCCAGCTGCCATAGTCCCATACAACACGCAGCGCCCCAACCCGAGGATTGCAATAAACAAATAGATTCCCCAGAGAAGCTACATGGATCACTTGCGAACTCAAGACAGTTGACAGCGTCAGCAGCAAAGAGGGGCCGTTCGTCGCGCCGCTCCAAGCAGCGCGAAAAACTCGAAAAGACATTCAAGGAAAAAGGATTTCTGATACAAACTCAACAACTGCAATCGGCCGAAGGCGCCACGTATTGTAAATTCAGACAGCTGAAGAAGTTTACGCGCTACCTCTTTCGCAACTGGAAGGACCACATACCGGAGAGTGACATTTGCAAGCACCACCAATGCAAGGATGTTGTTGCTCGCGATCAGCACAACGTTCTCGAGAATATACTAACCAGGCAAAATGGCCTAGGTGTAGATAATTTGGCACCAGTGCAGGCTACAGCGAAGCAGGCCACATAGGAGATCCCGCAACAGCTTTATACAAATTACTATGACTCTGAATACACTGCCAAAGATTGATAGATTTACGAAACAGATGTCGAAAAAGATTCTCTCGCTAGACAGCCATTATCTACATACAATGTTGATTCCGTCCAAGTAATGTTATTGTTAACAATAAAGTCGATTTCTAACAAAGTCAAAATTCTTAAAATTTATTGAAGTAAGCTGTAAGTCGTTCCCAGATAATCGAAAACCTGTGATTCTGTAAAAATGCGTTATATACTTTAATTATGGAGCTAATAACATACAAAATAGTGTTAGTAAAAATAAACTCGGGTGTTCTCCGTTATGCCAGACTTTCGGATTGCTTTCCAGGTCAGTAATATGTGTGATCTTTAAATACTTAATTTTTTGGAAGACGTCAATGCATGTAGTCCTCGTATAAAAAAGTGAAAAATTCAAATATAGGTATGTATTAGTATAGTTGTGCATATAGCAGCCTGCTTTGTTAATACGTTGTTGTTTGGTCATTTGGTAATGGTACCATAAATTGCTTAGAGGTTGGCTAAACCGTTCGCCATACTAAATTCTGGTAAATACAACTTATTTCGTGTTTGACTTTCGTTAGAACGAAATTCGATCAATTTTAAAACTAAATTAACAATACGTTACTCGTAAGTATACTTCTTGCTATGCTCTTAGGGGTTGATTAATGAGAGCTCAAAGAGCCATCGTGATCTTTGCTCGCCTCTACGTTGAAGGACATGGCAGGGACAACCATGTTCATCGGGCATACTAAATCTGTCCAATCGACCTCAGCTTGTCCCTTTGCACTTTTGCGACGTTTTAGTGTAAACTGTGATCGCTTTGGCGGTTTCAGTTTGGCTGTAATCGTCAGCGGTAGATAGCCGGGCGCAGCTTCGGCATCGCGTTTGCAATGTATTACGGTACGCCCAACTAACTCCTTAAAATGCATTGCCAAGTGGCGTCGTAGCAGGGATTTACTCGGCGGTATCGAAAGTAAATCAGCTAATAAGTCGGCGTTGAATTTTTCCTCATAAAGCATCAGTGCTCCGTGGACACCAGCTCCGCGTAGATTTGGAGCATATTCAGACAAATCTATGGTTTTTAGCCATTCCATTACTCGGTGGGCGGTCCATAAATCAACACTTTCCTTTTCTGGACTATTAGCTTCGTCGCTCTGTTCAACAATCCTGGTGGAGCGACGAATCAGACCTTCAGGGTCCCAGCGCAAGCGGCGCATGCACAAAATACCACATCGCAATGAAGCAATGTGCAGGCATGAGCTCACATGCAATTGGGAAAGATCCTCGAGCGTTAACCGATGCAGCATGCGCCCATCGACCTTCGCTTGCAAAAAATAATCCTTGTATTGAGGCAAACCAATGTCATCTAACCAGCGCAGCACCCAGCCCACATCCAATTTCGCAGCCTTTATTGTCAGCTCATCAAACTCCCTCTTTGTTATGTCATCAATGGCCAACATAATTTTCTTCCGATGCAGTACCGATTTCAAATGAAGTTCACGTTCGATATCGATCGGGGATGCGGTGAAGAAACAAACCGACGGATCGCTTTTCAGCCATTTTCTGGGAACAGAACAATCATGGAAAACGGAAAGTTAAACTCGATGTGGTTGTTAGGGAAGTTTTAGTAATCTAACAATCTACTCTTCAGTTAATGTCTAGAGATAGAAAATTCGTGAATTCTATGCTAAATCAATTTTTTAATCAAATTTACTGTGCTTGAATCAAGTACTACACTCGGCGAATATTATAATCTACAATGATCAGCGACGATATATACGATTCACACTCACCTACAGTTGTCCTGGTAACATCCAAGACCCATGTGCGCCAACCAGTTGCAAACTTCCTGGGCGTTCCAGCTGCTATAATGTTTTTCAGCATCGGTGAACAATGGAGTCTGGGCACTCCATTCAATGCGGCCGCCTGCAGTTGCACGCGAGCCACCTCGACGAAATTCGTCTGGCTCGGCCTTTTCCAAAGCAGTCAGTTCACAGTTGCTGCTATTACTCCGCCGCAATTTTCCTAATATGCTGCGCAATCCACGCGCGGAACGCTCGCGTAATTTTGGCGAGGGTGTGGATTGCGTCTGGGATCGAAAACTTGAGTACATAGACATTGCGTCATCAGTTGGGCTAATACTATCGTTCAGCAAACTGTCGTCGATAAGAATTTGTTCGTTAGAGGCAAACGCCACATTTCGTTGTTTTCCACTACTGTTGGCATTCACATCAAGGGTCTGGTTATTATTATTGTTAGTGCTTGACTGCAAGCGCTGCACTTGCTTTGTGGCACCACCATGTGATCGTGGCAAGCTGTGAAATTGTGGTTTAATCTGATGCCGCAAGACTGATGGCGGAGTTTTGAGAGCTAAACGACCATCTGGGGTGGCCTTTTGGTTTAGATTACCCATGCTGCCATAGGGCATATTGCAATTTGTGGCATTCAGCTCGTTTTCACACTCAAGTGCCGTGCGATGCAGTTTCAACTCGCTTAAAGCAGTCATTAATTCAAGCTGCTGTGTTTCTAAGGCCGATTGCGAAATCACTTGGCGCTGCAGTTGCTCTTCTTTGCTGCAGAGCTGCTGCGATTTCTCCGTTAAAAGTCCTTCCAATTCAATGATTCTGTCTGCTTGCTCGGAAACACGTTCCGCCAGCATCTGATATTGTAGAGCCAATCCTTCCTTGTCGCGCTGCAATCTACGCATTCGTTCATCTGAGTCTTGACGCGGTATATGCGTTTCCAGCCAATCGCTTATGATTGCTGCAGTAACTGGATCTGGAGCTGGCGCTGCTAAACCAACCTACAAAATCGATGCTAGCTCATTTACAGCTTTTAATATTTAAATAGCTTTTGACTCACCTGTTGCAGTGCCAAAGCCAGGGTTTTAGCTGTCGATAAGACATTGGTTGCCGAAATTAAATTACGCTCACAAAAGCTTGTCAACGCAGCAGTAGTTGCAGTTCCTGGCTGAGTCTGCGACTGACTACTCACAGTTGCAGTCGCCGAATTGGATATTATGCCATCCATCTGTTGCAATGCTGCCTCAAGCATTTTACTCGCTTCTGTCGCTGTCGTCATGATACATACAATGATTTGAGCGAAAAGCTTTGACAGTAATCCGTACGAGGTGATCGATGTGCAAATAAATTTATTTCCTGTGTTCGTGCTTGTTACATAAGCACCGTCAATTGGAATATATCATTTCGGAAGTTTTTAGTCTCCGATTATGTATTAATAAAAATAATAATACCACAAAAAAAAAAAAAAAAAACTGAAACAGAAAGAGCAACAAAGTGCTATTGCCTTGCTATTGTAGGCACATGCTCATAGTACAACTGGACCTATCGATATGCTGAGCTCTGGGCTATCGATAGTTGTGGCCAGGCGTGACGGATAAAAAAAATAAGCAACGTTTATTCCATTTATATGAAATTTTCGTACTTTATTTATGAATGTGTCCATTTATTACGAAAAACTCGCATGGAAGATAAGAATTGTCGATATTTACATGTTAGTATTTTTGTGGCATCAACTTACGATTTCATATGTGGTATATCAATATATCGTAACGGTGCTATCCAGGGTCACATATCTAGTTCTAACAAGAGCCAAAACAAATCTAATAATATTTATTTAATAGAACTAGCGGCAATGAATCGCTTTGTATATGAAGAGGCTCGTTTAACAGAAAACGAGTCATTCGTGAGTCGTGATCGCAACGTCAAAATCTATGATGGAGATCAGAAGGTAAATCATCATCATCATGCAAATATTGCATTTACTTTATTTGGCTACGGCTACACCTTTGTTTCAGACGGAATTTGAAGATGGGGAAGTGGTGCTAACGACTCATAGATTATTTTGGGGGCGTCCTGGAGAAATAGCTCGCGCAGCCATTACTCTTTGTCTGCCACTTAGCTATGTTATCTCTCTCAGTGAGGAAACAACGGCCTCCAATTTTTTTGGACGCAAAACACGGATAATACTGCACTTGCATCCGCCCAGCGTAAATAAACCCCCTGGGCCACTGGACACAAGTCGGGCTACCCACATAAAACTCTCAGGTAAAAATGGCCTAAGCGTGGAGTTCCACACCGCGCTGCGAGAGACTTTAAATGCGCGTGTCTGGACCATCGCATTGACGAATGAGACCATTCTCAAGGGACCAGAATCGACGTTAAGTGTGGGTGATAAGTTAGCTAGGATTCAAAAGCGCACGGGAATAGGTGGAATAGAGCGGCACCTAGAAGCGAAAGCCAAGGAAACAGACGAGAACATAGCACTTGCATTTCAGGATCTAAGTGTTCTTATGGCTATGGCAAAGGATATGGTAGGCGTGTCCAAAAATATAAGCAGCAAAATACGTGAGCAAAGAGGTGAAATATCCGAGGATGAAACAGTTCGATTCAAATCCTATCTGCTTAGCTTGGGCATTGATGATCCTGTGACACGTGACAATTTTACCAGCAATTCGGCTTACTTTAATAGTCTGGCTCAACAAATATGCGGAATGCTACTCGATCCAATTGAAGTGAGTGTAACTCACAATACATTCGAGTCATGTTTTACTGTATGTTGTATATGTTTTTGGTAGGAACATGGAGGCATGATGTCCCTGGCTGATGTATATTGTCGTGTGAATCGCGCTCGGGGTCTGGAACTTCTTTCACCCGAGGACTTGCTGCATGCGTGCGAACGGCTTAGTGGTCCTATTAAGCTACGTCGTTTTCCCAGCGGCGCAATGGTTTTACAGCTCGAATCTCATGATGATGAGCTTATTTCTATTGATACATTAGAAATAGTGCGCTCTGCGGAATCCTTGGCGGTGGAGGAGCTGGCTAAGGTGCTGAACATTTCGCTATTGTTGGCTAAGGAGCGACTGCTCGTGGCAGAGAGACTGGGGAAAGTTTGTCGGGATGAGTCCGTGGAGGGGTTGCGCTTCTATCCAAATCGATTGCTTGCTTGTGATGACTAAATGTAAATCTATATATATAAAAGAGAGTTGTGTAAAAGTGTCCCTACACTTATAACTCGATATCTGCTGGACCAATATTCATGGTTTTTGATTTGTTGGATTTGTCTCCGCTACGAGTAGGATAGTA